CCGAGGTCCGAAAGTCAATGGCACTGGTCGCTCAAAGTTGTTTGAAGGCCAATATTAGCAGTGGCCCCCCTGAAGCCATTTTCGAGCGAATCCAACAAGCGCGCGTTGATTTCGCCCAGGCACTTCTCCAACGGCTTGTTGAGGTACAAGCTCGAGGCGCCGAAGTCTTTCAGCTGCTCGAGATTACCTGGAAGACACTGCGATCCCGGCATCTAACATACGAAGAGGCTTTGATCAATGATGATACCGATTACTTCCGGTCCCTCCTGAACGTGCTCTTCCTTTCCCTTCAGTTCCACCTGGATAGCCCCTCTCGGAGTGCCCCCGAGGCGATCAACAAGAGGGCTGAGGTTTCTTCGGATCTAACTGTCATCGTGGAAGTCGTGAAAACAATAGTGGCCCAGGGCTTCAAATCCCTCACCACTTATCTCCATGACACGCCGGAAAAATGCGCACCGAAAGATTTCGCCATTATCATCGCTATTCTGCAGACATGCTTGCAAGTGAAGAACGCCGATCGCCTGTATGAGCATATCGTGTACCACATTGAGGAACACGACACCGCCCGTCATGCGACGACGCTCTTCTCCTGGGCCGACCAATTAGCCGTGGCAGGCGACCCTGTGTACGCAGAGCTCAGCGTCTCAATCCTGGTCAAGATGTCAACCCTGCCCATGCTCGCAGAACACCTTGCTGTTGAGGCTGTCTTGATGAAACTGACCACCTGCCGTCTTACCAACATTCTTTGCCAAAAGAAATCCTTCGGGCCCTTTGACCCTGTTTCCCGACTATACGCCATCTGGACTGGAGGATTCCTTCCTCTGTGCCTGAACATGCTCTACAGTGTCATGCGGACCGCGCCCGAGGTGGCCGCATTCCTCAACCAATTCGAATCCCGTCTGACCCGCGCGACAGAGGCATTCTCCAGCCACACCGCCGTTTCCTCCGTTCCGACATCCAAGTGGATCAGTCTCAGCATGGTCTCCGAGGCTTACTCGCTTGCGTTGATCTCGTTCATCCTGGACCGGTTCCGTGAGGCGGGTGCCAGTGCTGGGGTTGACGCACAGGCCATCCAAGATCTTAAATGGGATCGGGTACAGGTCAAGGAAGATATTGAGGAGCTCCTCAGTCGCCGCGCTGCTCTGCGTTCACGCATTGTGGCGACCAATGAAAAGGAGGTAGAGTGGTCCCGACAAAAGCCTGCCGACCCAACTTCCGGGGCCGAGAACCGACTGGAGGAGAAACTGGTCAGTGAGATGAAGGCAGCGGTTACGTGTTTAGGTGGGGAGGATTCATGAATATGCTCTTTATAGCCTTTGCTATTTTGTCTTTTTCTTTCTTTTTTTCATGTATTTTGGGTTGGCTGGGGTGTAGTAGATGAATCATTTTATGCATGGAGCTCAAGTTTCAAAAACAATTGTATTATTTCCAGTCTTTGTTCTTTTGGGTTGTTGCTTTTGGGATATGGCCTAGTTTATCACATCCAATATCCCATACCCCCGTCATCCATGGATGGAAAACACCTATTACGACCCAGTCCAAGACATTAACCACTTGTTAATAGCCTTTATGTATCTGCTCCGCACACTAGTTCCATGGCTGGTCTATTACCCCGTACAGTGTGAAGACCGAGGCTAGTCAAGTTCCCCGCAAAACCTACACATGCATATAACCGACAATGCGGGGAGATGCATTACGAACTATGCAGGAAACAGGGGAATTGTGCAAAATTGGACCATCCATAGATATCTATTCATTACTTATATGAAACCCTCGCCATCATATCCCCCCAGCCCCCTTTTCCCTCATATATCAATACCCATTGAACCATCGCCTATTATATCCCCCACCATGCCGTATAAATCCCGCTGGACAATCGACATCCCAGACACCCATCTAGCCTCTCTTCTCCTCAAATCCCCCACAGCCCCTCTCTCCAAAACCCACAAGAACTACCTCGAAGCAGCCCGCCCAGAAACCCACTACCTCACCACCCATGATCTCCGCCTCTGGAGCCAGCGGTTCGCCGCCGGCCTACGCAAATCCGGACTCCAACCCGGAGACCGCGTCCTCCTCTTCTCAGGCAACGACCTCTTCTTCCCCGTAGTCTTCCTGGGCGTGATAATGGCAGGCGGAATCTTCACGGGCGCAAACCCAACCTACGTAGCCCGCGAACTCGCCTACCAACTCCACGACAGCGGCGCCACCTACCTCCTCTGCGCGCGCAGCAGTCTAGAAACAGGTCTCGAAGCAGCCAAACAAGCCAATCTCCCCACAACCCGCATCTTCACCTACGACAGCTCCATCTACGACGGCGTCACAACCCCGCAAAACGGCTGCGCGTACTGGAGCGACCTCGTCGCTTCAGAAGAAGAAGGCCGCGCCTTCGTCTGGGACGAGCTGGATAATCCAACCCTCTCGTCGCGCACACTAGCGCTCAATTACTCAAGCGGGACAACGGGTCGTCCCAAGGGCGTTGAAATCTCGCACAAGAACTACGTTGCCAATATGCTCCAGTATTGTCACACGGCAAGTCTGCATCCGGATTACAAGGAGCGTCTGGAGCGCTCGCGCTGGTTATGTTTCTTGCCTATGTACCACGCGATGGCGCAGAATATCTTTATTGCGGCTGCGCTGTACCGTGCGACGCCGGTTTATCTCATGGCGAAGTTTGAGTTCGTCAAGATGTTGGAGTATACGCAGAAATTCCGGATTACGGATTTGATTCTCGTGCCGCCGGTTGTTGTTGCGTTGGCGAAGCATCCTGCTGTTAAGATGTATGATTTGAGTAGTGTTGAGTTAGTTGGAAGTGGTGCTGCACCGTTGGGGAGGGAGGTTTGTGAGGAAGTTGAGAGGTTGTGGCCTCCTGGGAAGATTAATATTAAACAGGGATGGGGGATGACTGAGTGAGTTTGTGTTTCTTCTTCTTCTTTTTTTTTTTTTTCTTTTTTTTTTTCCTGATCTATTTTGGTGGGAACTAAACTCATCTATACTTCATATAGGGCGACTTGTTCGGTTACGGGATGGGTTCCAACTGAAATTAGTACTTCTGCATCTGTCGGTGAGCTCAATGCCAATTGCGAGGCGAAGATTATGTTCGATGGATCAGAGGTGACAGAGCGGAATTGTCGTGGCGAGTTGTGGGTTCGGGCTCCGAATGTGATGAAGGGCTACTGGCGTAACGAGAAGGCCACGAAAGAGACCAAGACGACCGATGGTTGGCTTTTGACGGGGGATATTGCGTTCGTGGATGACAAGGGCAAACTCCATGTGGTGGATCGAATGAAGGTGGGTTTTTTTTTATATGTCTATATCTATATTTATATTTTGTTAAAGAACGAAACTAATGAGAACAGGAATTAATCAAAGTCAAAGGCAATCAGGTGGCACCCGCCGAGTTGGAGGCTCTTTTACTTGAACATCCGGCGATCTCAGATGTTGCAGTGATCGGAGTTGTCATGTAAGTTTTCATGTTTTTCTTTTTTTCTTTTTTTTTTTTTTTTTTTTTTTTTTTTTTTTTTTTTTTTTTTTTTTTTTTTGTCTTCTAAAACAAAAATTAGCAATAACGATGAGCGCCCTCGCGCATACGTGGTGCTTAGATCTGGCCAATTCGCCACTGCCAACGAGATCACGCATTTCTTGGACAACAAAGTCTCCGCGTTCAAGCGGATTACCGGCGGAGTTGTATTCCTCAATGAGATTCCGAAGAATCCATCAGGCAAGATCCTTCGCATGAAATTGCGCGAGCAGGCCAAAGAGGAGCTGAAGAATGTCACCGCCAAACTCTAGACTCTAAACTGTGTTGATATTACTTTTATATATTTGGAAGGGCTTGTTTATCGATAACCCCTGTCAATGGGTATAAATATATATCCATCTCGCGTCTTATTCGTACTCTCTGATTTGCCGGCCCAAGAAACCGGGCCAGGGTCATTCGATCCACTTTAGACATAAGGTGAGACCAAAGGGGTGGGCTAACTGGGGGGTAAAACGTAGGTGATTTAACTATTCACATAGTTTAGTGTATTAGTGTAGCCCACTATAATAGCCGAGTCAGACATGCTGCATTGTGATTCGATGTATGAAATAACTTAGCGCGGGGGACCCATGCAGGCGCCAGCTGAAAGTCAAAGACGATCTCGATGAGAGAAGTATGTACATACGGAGTACGGAGTACGGAGTACATACAACATAGTACATAGTACGTTTGTCATGATCGACAGCACATGAGGTTGTCTTCGGGCACATATCCTAAAGTTATTTGCTAAACTTTGAAACATTCCATGAGAGTCGAATATATCAATGAAACAAAGAAATGCTAAACGGTGGCGTGTAAAATGTAAGCTGAGTGGAGAAGGGCTGGCTGGCCTTAATTATCCACCTTTTTTTTTTTTTTTTTTTTTTTTTCTCCCCCTCTCAGTATGGAGTATGTTGTATACTGGCCAAGACTACGGAGGCAAAGACATCTTTTTTTTTTAGATCTTTCTTGTATTTTGTATTTGGTTTGAATTTTCGATCTATCAAGTCTGATTTGCCACTTCGAAAGTCAGAGATCCCGGTTGTCGGGCTCGGTATTTTTCTTGTTTTTTTGTTTTCTCACATGTACCACAGAAGCCCTATCTTGCAGATATATCCCGGTAGTTCAAGGATCACCTTCGATCATCAGGCCCTTCCCCACTCATAGCCTATTTAGGATATACTACTCCTGTAATATCCCATCTCTAGTTCTTATATATATAAACTAAAAAGCCCGCCCCCTGCACACCGTCCCACTAGTTCCTTTCACTCGCCTCTTGTCTCCTCCCCGCCAAGTCCGCTCATAATCCCGATTCAATACTCGTATCTTTGACTCGCTAAAACCCTGTTTCATCTGGCCTGGATTTACTTCCCCACACCCGCAGTCTTAAGTTGAGCTGTTTCCCCCTTCATTCTACAGGGGAGGCAGTTTCAACTTACCTTTCGCGAGTGGTGGACGCTATCCAACCACCCAAAACCAAGTCATGAACACCGCAGAACAAAGATACAACTATCTGTCTCGTGAACTCCTACAGTTGGCTACAGGGTTCTTTTTGCCCGTGACCACCCTGCTCAGCTTTTCTCTTCTCGGCCTCATCTTCATCCACCGATATATCAAATATCGTCGTCTGAGACAAACAAACATCATTCCTACATCTGATTTCAAACAAGAGCAGGACTTCTGGCTCCAGTCTATTATGGAAAAAGGAAATATCGTCTCATCGGCCTCGCGCCCTCCATCTGCTTGCGATATCCTGCAACCTTTATCGCATACAAGCTTCTTGCCAAGCAGTGGAGCCCTCGCTGCGCAGGCTAGAGAGCAGCAAAGTGAGAGATTGGCATTGGCAGAGAGTAGTCCTACATCTTCAAAGGCTTCTTCGTCTGGTGCGGCCGAGGAGGTGCAAAAACGCAATGAAACGATCCAGCAAATGTGCGAGGAGGATGATGAGGGAGTGCGGACTTGGAAGCGTGTTGTTGTGGAGTACAGCTAGTTGACCACCTGTTTTACAAGTTTATTCATTCCGTGCGTTTATCGGAATTGGTGATCTTTTTTTTCGTTTTTTTTTGTTTTTGTTTTTCTTTTTGCTGTGTCTCAGCCTGGGGTTATGTGATTCTGTTATCTCTTTTTTTTGTTGCCTTTTGTTATGCCTTTCTTTCTTATTCCTTCCCTTTATGTGTGTCTTCACTTTCACGAATAATGTCTTTCCCTAGAAACGCGTGGGCTTGGATCGTCTGTTTATCGCTTTGGGCGGCAGATACGTTTATCTTGCTAAGCATATGTCCAGCATATGAATATGACGAATATTGTGGTTATGATATATTGCAAGGATCAAACCGGCAATCATCTGCCGTTGTAGTTTGAAGAACATCTTCAAAATTCTTCGCTTTTGGTATTAACATTGAATTATACATGATCAAGGCTATAAATCACAAAGTAACGCCATGCTTCCATCACAAATGAGACCGTTTTGTCGAGACATGTCATCCCGCAAGCTCGACGCTTCTGCAGAAAACCTCATGTGGTCAAGTCTGATGATTAAGCTCTTATCCCGTTGGAGAAACCCGCATGGCCCTGCTGACCTCCTTTAAAATATACATCCGTAGAATCCTGGTCTAGCCTAGGTCTAGGCCGTGATGGAACCGACTCAAATATCGATAATACGCTCGATGAGGAACCACGAGAAAGCCCAAATGAACTATTCGGTGCGGCGTGACTTGTTTTCGGTATCAGGTAAAATAGTGCATTGTTGAAGTGTGGTGCTTGATGCAGTAATTCTTCGATTCTTCGTCCCTGGCGCATACCGTCTTGTCCGATGCGATCGGTGGGGGACCTAGAACGCATGAGCGACAGAAGATCTAAGTGGTGATTACATTACATGGCATACCATATGAGCGTATTCAAGAAAAGATTGATGGCATCAAGATGCAACTCGAGCTTCCGTCGATACTGGCTCAAAGACTCGCCTCGGAGATCCCACATGATTCGCCGCCATTGTGTTTTGACCTGAGTAGTGAATTGCTGAGAGTGCAGAAACTTGACTTTTTTGTCCATCGTGCAATACCAATGAAGGCGTGGTAACTGTTGCTTGGTATTTGTCTGTGGCGCTTTCGAGGTGCCCTAGGGTTTGGAGACACGAGCGAACCAAACACCTTAATTGTTGAACGGTAGCGTCATGGTCGAGAGTAGTGAACCTTCGGGATGAAATAACCAAAGAAGCTTTTTGTAACTGACTCAGAGAGCAATCCAAGCACTTTCAAGTTCTTGTAGATCCCGTGGTGCATTCTTTCGGCCTGTGGTTGCGGCAGTAAATAAACGATAGGTAATTTGGCTACAGAGAACAATGTCTCCAATGGAAAAGTCAGATGACATTGTAGCCTTCAAGTAATGTGGAAAAGAAGAAAAACAATAGCCAATGAATCGAATTGGAAACAGTTATATGAACCGGAAAGGTAATATAGTATAGGCAATCCAAGTATCAGATAGGGAGCTCAAGGCTTCTGGTACCTGTACCATGTATGGCTAACTGGAGATATTCCATAGAGTACAGCATAGAATATGAATACTATGTGTATATAAAATATTGCGTGGCGCAGTGGATGGCCACCTGCACTGCCCAATCAGAAAGACGGGGCTCATATCTGCATCCAATTATCGATCATCCAGTGTTTTCCCAATTATATTTCACGCTCTGTTTGTGACTCGAGGCATCCACCTATACATATATATATATGTACCTGCTATTTCTCCACACTTGTCATTCTATAGATCTTTCCCAATGTGTCTCATCCGTCCGACTTCCTCTACCGCAAGAAATCCTTTGATTCGAACTATGTCATCACTTACACCTAGGAATATTCTTCAAGGCACCTATTGGAAGTGTCGTATTCTCAACCTTGTCAAGGGAGGTAACATGCACATCTCTAATGTCTTCAAAGCCGAGGTTATTCCACATGAAAACTCTCAAAACACCTCTAAATCCCTCAAATCGTGCGTTATATCATGTAAATAATGTTTAGACCATAAGCTAGACCATAAACCTAACATTACCACATAGGGCTTTTATGGAAAGAGCTTTACCTAACGATACAGAACGTGAACTCCATGCTTACTGTCTTCCTGGTGTCGCTCCCACTCAGTACTTCCGGAAAATGTACGTGATCGACGACAGCACTGTCGCCTTAGAATACCTGGATACCACTCTTACAGAGTTGAAATACCAGCCTAATAATATGGACACCAGTTCAATTATTGTTGCCGTTTAGAGAGCAATGTTAACTAGCTGTGTCGTTCTCGGCAACTTTGAACATGTGAATAGGAAGTATGTGAAATGTAGTTAAAAGTCAAAGCGATCCACTTGTTCCCCACCCGTGGACCTGCAATGCTGAGTCATCTCGAAAACGCTCTACATCGATGCCACATCTTCAATCTACAAACAGCTCACTTTTCCGGTTCCCAGTCACAGCCATGGCCGTAACCGCATTCCCCACCGAGGGCTCTCCAGATCTCGCCCTTCTCAATGTTGCCCGCTTGTTCACCAGACTCGAGCACAATCTCCTCTCCCCGGGGACAGACCGGCGCACCTTCCAATCAGAATACCAGCGTATGCGCGTGAACAAGGTAAGCATTTACTCCGACCTCCCAATGCTTTACTTCAATGCTTTACTTCTAAAGGACATACTTTCAAGGAACAAGTACACCAGAACCTCGAATCTAACCAATGCCACAGAACGTTGAATATGCCCGCTCACTCCTCACCCAACTCGAGCGCTCCCTCCCACAAATCAAACCCCTCGACCGCAAGCACGAAGCACAATCCGAGATCACGCGCGACAAACAGCTCCTGAAGCGTATCCAGATCATTCTCGACGAAGAAGACGCCAAAGCCGAAACGAAGGAAGATGAAGACGAAGAGACCGACGACATCGATGACGAATGGAAGGAGCTGTTCTCCAAGCCCGTCACCGAGAAAGCTACATCACCCGTATCCGGACCCAAAGCCCAGCGGACACCGACACAATCATCCCATTCGCAACGAGAAGTAAAGGGAAGGAGCGAAGCGCATCAACCCATTACATCCGTAACGGAGACTACAATAACTCCAACACCCGTCCCCTCATCAACAAGCCCACCAGCGCTGCCAACCCTCCGAAATCGCCACACAACTCAACCCGCACCGCCGTCTACGGAAAAAGCAGCGGCGACAGGAAACAATACGAACAAGCTCTCTGAAACGGAAGCCGAACTGAGCACCCACAGAATGGAACAGGAAGATCTTACTAGCTCGCTCCTAACGCTCGCTTCGCAATTGAAATCCTCCTCGCAAAGCTTCCAGGCAACGCTGGAGGGAGAGAAGTCTGCTTTGGACCGCGCGGTGTCGGGTATCGATCGCACGAGTACCACGATGGAGGCGGCGGGAAAGAGGATGGGGATGTTGCGCAAGATGACCGAGGGGAAGGGGCTGTGGGGGCGGATGATGCTGTATGCGTGGATTTTCGGGTTATGGGTTGTTGCCATTCTGATTGTTTATGTTGGGCCAAAGTTGAGGTTTTGAGGGAGGCTGTCATATTATGCCGCCGCGTCTTCATACTTTCCGTCTATGGTAGTTGATTCTATCATTATGCGTCGATACCCATGTTTCACTCTGCGTAGATTAACTGTCTATAACGCTCTACAAAATCACAAGGCTATCGTCGGTATCTACAACTTGAGAGCATACGAATATAATACACATCGAGGGTATAGAAACAGTATGGAATTAAGAGTCAGAACCTTGAGAGTCAATCCTTGAACTCTGAAATAACCCAACGACCGACCTGGCATGACACATGAGAAAGAAACATTCAAATCCGCGGATCCTGCCATTTCCCCATGTCCAGTGCCCAAATGGACGCTCTTAGCTTCCAACGGACGCAAGACCAAGGAAAACGCTGGGGGAGGGAGACGATATGGTTACATACATAAACAAGAAATGGGGATGGGGGGAGAGAGAGATGATAGGATATCCAGCATTCAAATCAGAAGAGTAAAAAAAAAGTGAAAGGAGATAGGAAAAGAGAAAAAAAGAAGGGAGGGAAACACTCCTTGTTTTCTGTAGTGGATATCAGGAGTGACAAGAGAAAAACACAAAAACCGGCTAGAGATCGTGTCAATGGCGGGGGAAATTAGAACATGACCAAATGGAGAATAGAAAAAAAAGGAAACGCAAAAGAGAATCAACGCCGGGATCTTGAAACGAGGTTTTCTGACCGGTTCTGATCAGCCCCGGTTAATAAAGACATGCGATCTAGGTTCCACACACTTCGTCACCAAACGATAGATTCATTAGATCAAACCGCAGAGACGGAGGTTCTCTTGGATGATGATATCTGTGAAACGTTAGACAAGTGTTGCGTACAAAGGTTGGGGTGGCTAAGCTTACCGTTCACTGCTGCCATCACGAATCGAATCTGGGTGGTGTCAGTAGCACAGGTGAAGTGCGTGTAGATCTGCTTTTGCTCGGCCTGGTTCAGGGAAACGAATCGGTTGAGGATGTAGTCGCAAGCCGCGGCGTAGTCGGCACCGCCCTCGTAATCGGGGAAGTAATTCTTCATTGGGCTAACGGGGAGCTTCTCCTTGAAGCGATCGATCTTGTTGAGGAAGAGAATGATCGAGGTCTTGACGAACCAACGGGAGTTGCAGATAGAGTCGAATAGAGTCAAGGCTTCTTGCATACGGTTGACGGTCTCGTCTTCGAAGAGCAGCTGGTCGTACTCGGAGATGGCGACGAGGAACAGGATGGTGGTGACGTTCTCGAAGCAGTGAATCCACTTCTTGCGCTCGGATCGTTGACCACCGACGTCGAACATGCGGTATGTGAGGTCACCAATGATGAATGTGGTCTCGGTGATACCGGTAGTCTTGACACGGGAACGGAGGACATCCTGGTCGGTGGGGAGGTAGTCAGGCTGGGCAATGCGCTCAATGGAATCGAAGTAGCTAAGAGGAAACGGGTTAGTCACGTCACAATGCGACAGACGAACGGTCACTACTCACTATTTGGCAGAGTCGTTCAGCTGGTATTCGCGGGAGCGCTTGAAGCACTCCTGAACACCAGTATCGCGCCAAAGTTGGCCAATGGCGTTTCCAACCTCGGGGGGAATGCTGTCACCCTCGATCTGAGCGGGCTGCATGAAGATGGTCTGCACGTGGTACTCGTGGCGCGCATCCTCCAGGGGAAGTTCGAGCGACTCCATGGCCTCGAGAATGACCCGCATCGACTGGACGGTGTTGCTGTAGATGATTTCCTTGAATGATTCACGTTCGTCGCGGGAGTATCCACCCTCGTGGATGAGCTTCATCTGCTTCAAAATCGTAGACTTGCCCGACTCTCCGGCTCCTGTATCTCAAGTCAGCCATCGGCGCGTATTTCCATCAGGGGTCACCGGATCATACCGAGGAGCAGCATCTTGATCTCATTTCTTTGCATCATTTTGTCGCGCTTAAGCTGGTTCTCAATCTCCTCGTTCCGCGCCTTCCCCTCCTTATCCTCAGTACTCATTCCGCAACCCATCTTGACGGTATCAAGTCGCAATTAACGGTGTGAAAGTGGATGGGAAAAGGTTCTTCGTGGGGGGATATTCGGAAGTCTGTTACAGGGGCTGTCCAAGTCGGATCATCTGTCAGCAAGCTGGAATAATTTCATCCGAGGAAATATTGCATTAATGGGCCCGAGGGGGGTGTTGCATAGGTGGTACAAGCATCGCTGAACAGAGACAGACGGCGTTTCAGAATTGGTGTAAGCATCCCGATGCAAGGAGTCGGCACCGAATTTACCAGAGCAAGTAAACCAATTGACAAATCCAAGGGAAAAAAAAAGGGTACCCACCTGAACGTGCTTTTGCAGTGCAAAAACGAAGGACAAACCAGCAAAAAGGATAAAAATAAAAGAAATGAAAAGAAAGGAAGAATCAGAAGAATTCGAATAGAATCCAATCTGGCAAAGAAGAGAGAGGAGAGAGAGATACAACTCAAAGGTAAGGGGCAAGACTGAGGGGGAAATTGGGAAAGTTTCAGCAGAGAAAGGGGATACACCGATATTACCACATCGATTCACTAGACAATAGGTGATTAGGGGAACCGTCCGCTTACTGGATCCTGCGTATTGATTACACGAAATACCGAATACAGAACAATACCGCCCCGGCAGATGGTGTCAGCTGATTGGGCGGTGTGGGGACTTGGACAGGGGCCCATTCAGCCCCTTTTGCCTTTTTGCTATGGTATTGGCCGGTCTGTGGGTATTCTATCGGCATTGCATCGGTACAGATTCTAGTTTCAGGTATCTATATACAGATGCATGTATAGAACATTCTGATTCAGACAGTCAGCCCTTCATATGTATACTGCAGAATAGACCATACATGGTACTTCGATTGTATAAAGATGTCGGGGGACTCCTGGTGCCGTGCAGATCTTGTGGAGATGAAAACTAGTATATCAAATCGCAACGCGAATCACATGTGAAGATCCAATACTGGAAACAACAGCAACATTAGAGATAATTCTAGCTCCTCAAGGAGTATGGAAAGGGAACCCCTGACAAACCTCACCATGTACTGCGTACAACATCTACTATATCGTACAGTTTACTCCCCACATGGACGTTCCAGATAGTCTGACATCTGACCTGACCTCAGCAGCACCTCGTCTCAGATGATTTCAGTCTGAGGGAAACAAAGAAACAAAGCAAAATGCCAGTGCTCCTACCCAATCAGACTAGTCTACGCCTCATTAATGTGTCCATGTCCAGTTCTTTGAGACTGCTTTGAGACTTCCTTGAGCTACAATAGTACGGACAACCCGACAGGTCTCTGATGCAGTCTGCACATCCGTGGGTCCTCCGTTTTATACCCAGTGGAGCCCTATAGTACACCTAAGCGAGCGACTACTATGCGAGAATGGCGAGACACTGACTGTCGCACCTTCAATGTCAGTACTCAGTCCCTCTATTCCAGTGCTGGTAGATTCAACGAGTCTACCCCGTGTGTCAGATGATTGAAAAGGAGATTTGTCAGCACAGGGCAATGTCGACATCGGGGAAAAATGTGCAGGATAGCGGATTTCCTCTTTCCAATCGCGTCCCAAAGTTGTCTCCTGAAGTTTTACATTAAATGACCCACTGGCTAGTGCTTCTAGCCGATTTCTGCCGCCAATTTGTGTGAGATGATACTGGACTCCACTTATTGCCTCGTGGCAATGGAGACTATTGAAGTCCGCGGCTCTAGTTTGGCGTCTAAACGCGAGCCCTGAACTCTGAATCTGGTAGTCGAGAAGTTTCCCTGGTCCGAAGTCCCAAGCGGATGGTACTACTTATGTGTGATTACTAACTTAATCAAATACCCGTGGACACTTATTACAACTCCATACAAGGATAAATTACTTGAACCTCCAGGATTGGATAATTGTGACAAACTGCGTAGATCATTTCCAAGGGCTTATCCACACCCATCTAGCCCATTAGAATCGTGGATTTATGGCTAATATATCATGTAACATATTAGTATATTCATTCATATCTGCACACCTACTCCCGAGGTCTGTTCTAAACCACAATATGAATCCCAATGGGGCCAAAATCTTGGTTCCAACGATCGGGGGCAAACATAAACCTTGCAAGACCCAAGGAACTCGATCGATCTGATTTTTACGGGTATTCCCCACCTTAAGAAGGTACACACCCTGCCCTTTCCCCTTCTTATCACCGCAATCATGTCGCACGAAATGTCCCACATGGGCCCTCGGGGTATGTAATGCGTCAAATGTTCCATGGCCGTTACGATCGCTAACAAGATTAGCCTTCAACCACGACAACAGCACCGACGCCGAGGCGGAGTACGATCGGCTCCGCGACCTCGCGCGCCAGGAAGCCTCCAAGCGCGGACAATGTTTCAGCCGGGTATGCGACCACCTAATTCCAATCACTCGGTTACAATCGCAATCACAAGCGCTGTTCCAGTCATTCCAGCACCGCTAACAATCTCGCCAGTCGAAGGATGCCTACTCGAGCGGCGATGGCGCCGGCGCCAAGCAGCTCTCCGAGGAGGGAAAGGCACACGGCCGCAAGATGGAGGAGTATAACAGACAAGCGTCTGAGTTTATCTTCCGCGAGAACAATGCCAGCGGGCGCGTTGAGGCAGACACCATTGATCTGCACGGGCAGTTCGTTGAGGAGGCTGAGGAGATCCTGGAAGAGCGGATCAAGTATGCCAAGTCGCATGGGCAGAATCACCTCCATGTGTAAGTGGCAGAACAAATCGCTTCGAGAGTATTGCGCTCTGGGCTCAACCTGACTAACGCTGCTTCGCGCCATAGTATCGTCGGCAAGGGAAACCACTCCGTGAACCACGTCCAGAAAATCAAGCCGCGCGTCGAACAGGTGTGCCGTGAGTTGGGGCTGCAGTATGCCACTGAGGAGAACGCTGGTCGCATCTATGTGAACCTGACTGGTGGCGAGGCTGTTATGCCTCCCTCCTCTGGTCACCAGGGCAGCTCGCCTGGGTACCCTGGCCACCAACAAGGATACCAGCAGGGACACCAGCAGCAGCATGGACAGCAACAAGGACAACAGCCAGACGAGCTCGAGGAGCTTGCCAAGAAGGTTCTGCCCAAGGTTCTGCGCAAGCTCGAGAAGGCTTGCTGTGTGGTTATGTGAGCTTGTATTTTTGGTGTTTGGGATATATACATAGATGCAGAGCTGTGTTTGCGGACAGGTCTTGATTGTTTGATGTTGGTGACATTTTGCGCTTTTGGTTTCATTTCTAGATCATCTACCATCCACATAAGACATAAGACCCCGAGTTTGTTCAACCCCGACACAACTCATGATGGCAAGGATATGGTTATACCCTTACATGAACATGAACATTGTTCCCAATGGAACTACCATTTACCTTCATGCTGTTGAGTACATTGCACTTTGGGACCATATAATCATAAATCATATCATCGTGAACCCTCGTAGCTACATAGCCAACTTTGAAAACAAGATAACTGGAACTGGGTATATCCAATAAATACACGGCCTCCACAAAATTATACCAAACGAACAAATAAACAATTAGCACGCATTGGGATCCGACAACGTTGACTCCACAATCTTTTCCACAATAGCACGCACCATCTGCCCATCACCAGATCCATTGATCTTCGGCGTAGCATCAATCCTCTCGATTAATGCAAACGCCTGATCTCGCAGATCCGCAACAACCCGGCTGGTATGCGCAAAGCTGCCCGTATTCTTCATGTACTGCACGGCATAGCGCTTAACCTCCGCATCCTTGGTATTTTGCTTCAGGATATTAATCAACTGGCGATTGGATGGGTTCGAGCGAATACTGTGAATAATTGGGAAGGAGAATTTACCCTCGGTAAGATCCTCGCAGAATCCCTTATTTTCCGTGTACACCGTATTCGAGAGGTTGAGGTAATCGTCGCATATCTGGAAGATCAAGCCCATAACATTGACCAAGGCAACACAGTCCTTGCCTGTTGTACTCTCCGCCTGCATTAGTTTCACCGCGAGCCGGAAAAGCCCGCCCGTTTTGTTGCCGACCATTTCCAGGTACTCGTCCTCTGTCGGGCAGGTTAGCGTGTCGCGCCAGAAGAGATCCATTCCCTGGCCCCGGTGCAGGTTCAGCATCTCTTGTACGTAGATATCGATTGCGAGGGGGTTTTTGAGCTGCTGTAGTTCTTGCAATGCGAGGAAATACACGTAGTTTGCTGAGTTGATTGTCTGCGCTGTTCCGAAAATGTTGTGTGCGACGGGGATGCCGCGGCGGAGGACGGAGTTGTCTTCGACGTCATCGATTCTGGTGCCCACGCGGTCAGCATCAGGATATCGAGTGGGAGAGGAGGGAGGCGGTGTCTGTTTAGGTGGGGGTTCAAACTCACAACAGCGATGATGTATGCAGCATCGTTACAACCTTGGTGATGATCGCCAGGCTCGCCGGCGGGACCTGCAGCCAAGCGTTGAAGGCGTTGATCAGTTGTCGCCGAATATCTTTCCCTGGTTGCTCGTGCATGTAGTCGTATGGACCCATGAGGATCTTATCATTCTTCGATGACCATGTTCCATCCTTATACTTGGTGCCATCCACGCTGGACTTGTTGCGACGATGTCCGGTTCTCGTCGGCTCTTCATCTGTCACCGATAGGTTGCGTCGGTGGGAAGGGCTCCCGGTGGCATTTGTTGCATTAGCCGAGCTCGTCCGAGGAGGAACAGGACTTGGTGGTTGGAAGGGTGCTGAGCTCATGATTGTGGATAGGGAGATGGAGGGGTTCGATAGGCGGCAAAAAGACGTGCGGAGCTAGGAACCTCCGGAGTTTATGCGAGATGTATAGATGACATCAACAACACTTTCACAAGATATCTTCGTATGTGTACAATGATACTATATCATATTGTAGAAGGTAGCATTCAAGATATATGCTCCGTCCATAGTATAATAACCCTGGAGGTATGATGCCTGGACTCGAGGTACCGTGGTCTATGACTAATCGGAGTGTGGTCGGGTTGAGGCAGCTGACACCTGACACCTGACGCCTGACAGGGATGATATCGGATTGACAAATGAGATAAGTCAATTTGATTAGCAAAAGGGAATATGATGATATGATAGGTCATAAGGGGAGGTAGGGATTAATAAATGAATTGTTCAATAATTCCATGTCAGATATACTGTTCACTATAGCAACGGAGTAATATGTAGGGTGAAAAAGAGGTCAACATACGGTGTAGACTATATATATATATATATATTTAGGGCTCTACACTATAATTAACATTAAAGTCGAACCTGATTGACGCCAGGGGTCGATCTAAGGTCAAGCTAAGAGTTCTCTAATGTGATGAGTTCCTTGGTTATTGGCCAGTTGCCTGTGGCAACCGCCCTTTATTTACTACGAAACCTTGGAAGGGCCCAACTGACCTCATCCACCCAACCCGAACAACACACGGACAACACGGACCTACTCCACTTTCTTTTTTGACCTTTGGTTTAAAGAATGTTCACTGCTTTTCTTTTTTTTTTTGAGCGCTTGAATAGCTCACTTTTTCACATCTGATTTATCAATGGAGGCTCTATTAGCCCATTCGTTCGATTACCTCTGCTCATACGAGCCGAGCAAGATCCGCAAAGGATTACGCCAGGTCGAGGGACTACTAGCACAAATATGTCTGTCCAAACCTAAGCCCGTCTTGGACCGGAGATCACGCTCCCCTGATACCCAGCCCGTGCCAAAGACCTTGTCAGAGTTGCGAGATGATCCGGCCTTTCGGGAATTTTCCAAATTGCAGGAAAGCTTTCAATGGAACAGTATGTCTTTGAAATTTCTATCACAACTAGGGTCCGCGCGCTAATAACATGCTTCAGTTGCTATGCGCCTAGTATCCTGCCTCGAACACCTTCTAGGCCGAGGAAGCAACGGCACAAACGACATGCTGATCGTCTGCACACTGGATCTGATCCAAGGCGCCCTCCTCCTCCATCGCGGCTCGCGCACCCTCTTCGCCCGCGAAATTTATATGAACCTCCTCCTCGACCTCCTCGACCCTATCAACTGTCCAGCCGTGCAATCAGCAACCCTTCTCACACTCGTCACAGCCCTACTGGACTGCCCGTCAAACACACGCACATTCGAGGACCTAGATGGCCTCCTCACTGTCACATCACTCTTCAAGCAGCGCGCCACCTCCCGCGAAGTCAAACTCAAACTCGTCGAATTCCTCTACTTCTACCTGATGCCCGAGGCCATAACCCCGGCGCCGATGTCTCCCCCGCCAGGTCTGCAGCGCAGCCCGAGCAAACTTTCCTCTGCCCCCTTCTCGCGCAGTGCGCACTCCGCCGCGGCAAATGCTGCGAGTAAAACGAACCGCGATACCCGCACGACGGACGAGAAGCAGGCTCTTCTAGGAAGGTATCTCAATAACGTGGAGGACCTCGTAGAGGACCTGAAGGAGACGGCTCCTTTTGGAGCGACGGTTTACTGAATGACTTGACTAGCGATGATTGACTCACTCACTGTTCGATGACCAAATATGCGCGATGTCCGCTGCGATGATTTGGTGTTTTTTTCTTTTTTTTTTTCCCTCTCTCTCTCCACCTTTCTATCTTCGCTTCTCCTCACCTCTTTTCCTCTTCTTCTCGAGCGTTTGACTTATGTTCCGTCCGGTACGGCAATTATGCGATTCCCTGGACTGATGTCTTGCCCTCTTTTGGCCTGTCTTTTGAGCTCTCTTTATCTTTTATTCCAATCCTGGAACTTTGTCGACCTATCTAGTGTGTGCCCTCTCCCCGGGCTTTGTTACCTTATCGTTTTCCTTATGTCTCTTTAATGGTGACATGAATGTGTACGATTCTTCTCTGTGACTGAACCAACTGTCATATATCCCTGATGATCATCAAATTTCTTCGTAATGCTCCCAATGTAGGCTGTGGACTTGGTAGACTTGGTTTTACGGCTATCAACTTTATTTGTTATTCCCGGTGCGATATCTCTCTATGATCTAGACCAGCATTTATATAAATGAGTCATCGTTCCCGTATGAGTCACTGTAGCATGGACTGTTATATACTTCAAGTTCGAAGTTCAAAGTGGAGAAAAGTCTAGTATTAGCGTGGAACACGAGTTCTATATATCCCCGCAAACCCACCGAAATCCAGAGTCGTTCCACGGTACAATCACCTCCCAAAATGGCGCAGACAATCCAGGAATTGCTGGCTACAAAGCCTTCCGGACATTCACAACAAACACAATATGTCGACACGGTAGAAGCATATGATAAATGGGCCGAGGTAAGTGTCTATATTCCATTCCATATTTCTCATCCATCACATAGATCTTATCTATTGTAATCTATAACGCGTCACAATGTAACCAATATATGTCGTTCATATAACCATTCAAATCTACCCACCATTTATGCCTTATACCAAAACTAACACAAAACAGGTCTACGACACAGACGGAAACTTCCTCCAACGCCTCGACACAATCGAGATGCGCACTCTACTACCCCAATTCATCGACCGGGTAAACAAGCGCTTCCAACCAAGCCCACCAGAGACGGAGTCAGAGACCGAGACCAAGGCAATCCGCCCCAGCCTAGTAGATCTAGGCTGCGGTACTGGCCGCAACACAATCCAACTCCTCTCCGCGCTAAACACAGCCAACAAAGCCACCTCCTTCTCTGTAATCGGACTGGATGCCTCGCGCGGGATGTTAGATGTAGCGCGGACTGCGATACGCGAGTATGCGACGAAAAGCGCAATACAGATGGACGTTGAGTTTGGGATTTTTGACCTCCTTCAACCCGAGCTACCAAAGACACAACTTCCGTCTTCGTTGTGTGAACCGGGGGCTGTGGGTGTGATATCTACACTCGTGCTGGAACATATCCCGCTTGAGCGGTTTTTTGCCGCTGCTGCGGGGATTATGAGGTCCGGTGCGTATTTGCTTGTGACGAATATGCATGCTGAGATGGGAATGCGGAGTCAGGCGGGGTTTACGGATGAGAGGGGGGTTAAGGTTCGGCCTACGAGTTATTGTCATGCTATTCCTGATGTTTTGGATGCTGCTGTTCAGGCTGGGTTTGCGGTTGAGGAGATTGTTGGTGCGGGTACGGATGAGGTGGTTGTTAGGGGGGTTGATGAGGAATTGGGGAATGTTTTGGGGGCGAGGGCGAAGAAGTGGGTTGGAGTTAGGGTCTGGTTTGGGGTTTGTTTTGTTAAGAGGTAAACAGGAGAGATATTACTTTTTCATCTAAATAATGAGTCCACATCCAACGCCATGGTTTGTTATACATTCAGAAGAATTTCAGTAGTCTGTCGCGGTGTTGTACAAGATTGGGATGCTCTTTGAGCAGTTGTCCCAGCCGGTTCCGTTTCCAGCCCAGGGTATCATCCAGGATCAGTTGAGTGTAGGCAAAGACGCTGGCATCGAAGAGGCCTGGGTTTGGCCGGCCGAAAAAGTGCTCGTCTTCGCCGAGCAAGGTGGATAGCGCTTCGAATGCGCCACCCGCATCGCCTTCCAGGGCGGCGGCATCGATGTAGCGCGATGCCTTGAGGAGCTCATCGCGGGCGGCCTGCTGGAGCTGGTGGGCTAGAGCGGCGCGCACGACCGAGTTTGAGGTTGTGGGATTCACGTAGAGTCGGCGTGCGACGGCGTCGAAGTTCTCACTGTCTAGGTAAAGCATGTATAACTAGACACATCGGTTAGTTCCTTCGAGTCTGCGTTTCGTTTTTGATAGGATCATGTGCCTACCCAAGCGCTGCGTATCCGGTTGTCCAAAAGCGAGGCATAAACCTCGAACCGCAGGTTCAATTGTTGTTCCTCCTCGCAGTGAACTTGTTCAATGGCCCACTTTTGGATCTTGTGTGAAGGGATTGGATGCGAGGAGTCTGCAGGCAGAGAGGGTAGGAGGAAAGGCAGGGAGCCATTCGGCGATGCATGGTTGTTGGACGAGGTGATCTCAAAATCAATCCCGACGAATTTCAAGTATGCCTAGGGCGAGGCCGATCAGTATGGTTCCGACAGGGACGGCTACACGCGTCCATGCATGTGAGTATAGACGGCACGAACCTGCCATTTAAGACATTGAGGATTGAATGAGGGTCGGCCATGTCGTACACCAGATGCGTCGGCGAACACGTAGAGCTGGTTGACATTGTCGTGCGGTCGAAGGCGTTGAGGGATCTCGTTGGCGGGATAGGTAGTCAACGGGAACTTGTCGAAGAGGCGCTTGATGGGAGCGGGAACAGTGAAGAATGGACTGGCATTAGAATCTTCTGGAGGGCCGTCGGCGCCTTTGGGTGGCATTGTGGTGGTATGGAACTTTCCAAATGTCGCCAACGTCCACAAGTGTCCCAAGTGCCGTCATCGAAACAATTCCCACGCGCCAAGCCCGAACAGGCAGGTATTGCCTTACCTAATAATGGTCAGGTACTGTCCTCCCCGCACCCCTTTCCGCCTTTTTTTTCCGTCTTTACTTGGGAATAGCGTGAACTTGCTGTGATCTATGGACTATTTTGGATCAGATGGACTCGATATCTTAGTGCTTATTTCATATCTTGTGGTGTTGGTGTTGCGATCACATCAGCCTGGTCTCTCCCGCCAACGTTGAAGAAATCTGAACCTCCACTTTGCTCCGTCTCGACTCCACCTTCCACTCTGATCTGCTCTCGCGAACGAAATTTTGACAATACGGGCATACATATGGACTAGTTTGTCGCGAAATACGAGGCGTCTGACGGTTCTAGCGAAAACGGGCGATTGCATGCGCGGGGTATCGACTAGCCTTTGGGGTTCTGCGACTCACGGTTGCGCTATTACGAATCAATCTTGCGTCTCACCTTAATTTTGACGGAATCATACATACCTCTTTGCCAATATGCCTCTCGATGAAGAAGGCGCCAAGTGGTCCTGGTAGGAATATATCGTATATTGATAATGAAACCGGGCTAAAGAGTTACACTAGTGAACCATGCATTCGAGGTCACCGATCGTCAAAATGCCAGCACTTCGATCGACTCATGATGAAAGTACCTAAAGCCGGGCGCCCTCTTGCAAAATGTCCCCACCCGAAAGGAACCTGCAGCTGCCAGAAGACATATGCCGTGATGGTCCGCATTCCGAAAGGTATACCTTTGTCACCAAACTACCACACATATGTTTGCGTTGTACTGACTCGCCCTAGGCTCATCGTGCTTATGTCGTCCGCTCTATAAAGTTCCTATGGATGCCAATGATCCAACTCAGTCACCCCCGCCCTCCATGGTTTCCACATCCTCACCAGCTCCGGGAAAGGTCCAGAAGTCTGGCAGAAGACAAAGTACTATGCAAGCAGCACCCGAAAATATAGCGCGAGCATTAGAAAATATGCCAGACAAGGTCAAGCTCGAGGATGGAGCGTCGAATTTGGTTTCCGACTTCTCTTCACAGCTCGGGTTAGAGGGTTCACAAAAATCTCCCACTGCGTCTACGCAAAACCAAAACACGCCATCACCCATAGAAACCACCAGGAAAGACTCGCAGTCTCCCCAAGCATCAAGCTGCTGCTCTCAAAAGCAAAAGCCGAAGGCACCTACGCCGACTCCAGCTCCTCCTGCGGCTGCTTCTCCGGCCCAGAATGGTGGATCTTGCTGCGGAGGGTCTCGTCCTTCCACGACAAATCTAGCCATGTACCCAGAGGCCGGCCAGCAGCAATCCCAACAGCCTATTTCTTGGGATGATCAGAATTACATGCAGTTCCCCATGCCTCAAATTTCCCCATGGCAGAATTCCTCGATTCCCACGTCAGGAGACTACATGCATTCCGCCATGCATCAAGCACGTCCCCAGCACCCAAGCCTCCATAATGGGTACACGGGAATGATGCTACCACAATCTCAGCCCCAAATGTCCCAAATAGGGATGCCACTCGGTGTGACTTCGCCGCCGTCCATGGCCTACTCAAACCCGATGAACGGTCTTGGAATCATGCAGCCCTCTATGGGTCCGTACATGCTCAACAACCTCGAGCCTTCCTACAATGCACCATCAGCCAGCGACTCTTGTAACGACTGTCGTTGTGGAGAAGATTGTCAGTGCCTTGGCTGCGCTGCTCATCCATTCAATACCACAACCCGGAAGCATGTTCAAGAGATGGGTGCGATCATCACCTCTAATAGCGATGACAAGAATCCGGAAGTCATCAACCCTTATCAAGCCTCGCCTTACCAGGGAGGCACACCCTCGACCCCATTCCCTTACTTTATGCAAAACACCCCTTCAATGGATCATGGTTTCCAGCCGATTCCATTTGATAGCTACTCGGACCCAAATTCCACCCTACCCAGCGGTTACTCCTCCCCTCTGTCGGCAAACCACCATCTGAACCAGCAGTTGATGCATCCTTCGGAGTACTACACCCTGGAATACCCAGTCGGGCTACCAAGTGCCTGTTCTGACATGACAGGCAGCTGCCAATGCGGTAGCGACTGCAGCTGTGTTGGCTGTCTCACACATAGCGGCCACAATGGTCTTTCTCTGGACGTGCCTATCCCAGAGCACCCCATTTCTAACACAGCGGACAAAAAAACTCAACCTTCACGCCATGTCCACACAAATTCCGCCACGTCTCAGACTTCGCGGATCCCGGTATTAGACAATGTATCTGTGCCCTGCCTAAGTCCGCGTACACTGGAGACTTCCATGATCTAGAAGATCTACGGCTTGATAATTTCTTACTATGTCCTTTCTCTCCTCTCTTTTTCCCCGCGCCGTTTTCGAACTGCATGATTTATGATCTCCTATGATACCCTATCTAGAATCTATGCTCTAGACGGCCACAGTAATAGATTGCCTGTTTGAATGTAATCTGTTGAGTTGAATGTTCAAACTATTCCAGTTATCGTTTTCTTTTTGCCTTTTGTAGTGTTTTTTGCATCATTGCTTTCAAACGAAACTCAACTAGATCTAGACAAGGTATGTATGTACGTATTGGCGTAGAAGTCAGAGCCACCCGGGTGCCGGGGCACTTTTGCATACCCTAAAACCCCTAACTTGGACATTATTTTGTTTAGACTTCTTACTTTGAAATTAATATGATGATCATCAATGCATTGGGGGATATCATAATTCTTAAGCAAAAGATAGTGTACAGGTAAAGGACAGTTATCCACAAAACCAAATCAACCCTTATTCCACTTTCCGAACTTCACATAGTCATCATAGAGCGACTTGAACACCGCACGACCAGAGACATCGAGCGCAGCATTGAGCGCACGCATAGACTCACGCGACATGACATCCAGAGCCGCATACAGACCAGGCAAGATAGCAGCCTTGACCTCCGGTGATAACGATCCACGCAGCGAGCACTGCGCATACTCCATGACAACATATTGCAAGTACTGACCGGCAATACGCTTCGCCTTCTTCGTCTGATCAGTCAGGGCCTCACGGGATGCACCAGGCTGGGGACGAAGAACCGCCGAGACGGTAGGGTCGCACAGCGAGGTGAGCAGACGAGTGTAGTAGGTGGCGTGGGAGGCGTCGAGCGGGGCGAGCCAGAAGGGCTGTGAGAGGGTGGGCTGGAAGCGGGAGCGGCCGCGTTTGCGGGACCGCGCGAACAGACAGCCAAGCAGGCGCTGCATGGCGTTTACGACTAGGTGGAAGCGGCCGCCGATCTTGAGACGTTGCAGGCTGAGTACGACGCCCATTAGTCGACACAGGCGGGTGTAGATGGTTGGCGCGTAGGCGGGGGAGATCTGGGGGCCGATTTTGGAGGAGGCGCTTGCAATTGCGCTGAGAATGCTGTCGATATTGCATTGGGTGAGACTGCGGGTGTGGCTGCGGAGGAGGAGGTCTAGACATTCGGAGGCGAAGCAGAATTGGTCGATGCTTGTGCTTTGGATGATGGCTTCGGCGAGGGACGTGCAGAGGAGGGAGATCTCGCGTGCTGTGGCGCTTTCTTTGTCTTCGACGGGAGAGAGCGAGGAAACGGCGAGGTAGAGCACGAGAAGTCTGTAGCCGGCGTTTTCACCAATCAAGCCAAGTCCGCGGACTTCGCAGATCGTTTGGGTGATCTTTTCCACGGTCATGGAGCGGAAGCGTTCGGTGGTAGTCCGGATGAAGAGCTGCTGATCCTCAGCATAGAGAGACTGAAGGGCAAGAGTCTCGGCGCATTGCAGGACTGGCTGAGCAATGCTCTGCTCGGGTCCTTTGCTGGCAAGAAGACGTCGTCGGATTAACCGAGA